CATTCATGCCTATCCAAAATATATTACGATCGAAAACTTGCCTCTTGAGGAAGAGAGTGAGAAGGTGAGTGGTAATTTCTGGTGTGTATGTAAATGTTAATATTGAAAAATGTAATAGTCCCTATGCTGTTTAAAATATTTGATTTTTTCTATTTTATTTATATGTAATTTTGGTTAGGAAGGAGGAGCAGCAGTAGAGGTATAGTGCTGGTTTTTACCTGCATTGTGAGGCCAGAGTTGATCTAAAAACAATAGTTCTTTTTTCTTGGATTTGTTGAATATGGGAATTTTTCTTTCTAACTGTAGCAAACGTGAAATTGTTTTCTGTTTGGAAAGGAAGGAATGGAGTTTTATGTTGGTACAGAAGGAATACGCATAAATAGATATAAATCATGTAAAGTCATGTAAAAAATGTATTAATAATGTAATATTACAGATACAACTTTGGTTTTGTTTTTATAAGATATTTGTAGAATTTTGTAAGATATTTTTTATAGTGATAATAATAGAAATTATATATATTTTTTTTCATTTCTTTTTATGAGCATCTTCATTGACATCCTTGGACCTCTAGTATTTATGACAAAAAGGAACTTTGTAGTTTACTGTTATCTCAGGTATTAAACTTACAAGACTTGACAAATTGAAAATACTAGTCCTATAGTTTTTATTTTTGCTGGAAAATACATTTTGTATAAAATAATATGCTTTTTTTTCACTTCATATTGTCAGTGGCAATATAGTAAATTTAGAAATTCTCACAATTTGGTTTCTTTATTATTATTATTATTATTTTTTTTTTATGAACAAATCACTTTTCAACATTATCCAACCTTATATTCTATACTTTTTTCCACAATGGTTAACAAGACCCTTTGCAGTGCACATTATTTTCCCCTTTTTCTTTTTCTTTTTCCAGATGGCAGTCGTAAGTGGCTTGTGGGAGAGAGGTCTTCTGGTAACATCCCAACCCCTAGACGCTTCGTACGATGACTAACCTGCGTGTAAAGTTAATTGTTTGGAAGTGGAGTGGATGAAGTACTCGAAAATTATCTGTGAAATTACTTGTGAAACTTGGTGACAACAATAATGATTTGTTGATGGAACTGGAGATTCTCATTCTTTTATTTCCCTCTTATTTAAGACAAAAAGAAAGAAAAAAAAAGAAAAAAAGAAAAAAAAAATTGTTACGAAGTTGAAAGTTATCTTCTTTTGTCTAGGTTTTCTTTGTTATACTTCAGTTTGCATATTCTGTTTTTAAAAATATGTAACTACAAACCAGGAGATTTTTTTTTCTGAGTAGGTTTTTAATAATGTTTAAATGAAAAAAATTGGGAAATGCAGACACTGATGTATTATGAGAAAGTTTCACGTAATGCAAATCATTGAAAGAGAAGGTTAATGGAAAATGTTTAAGAACTATTTCAAAGCGTCTTTCATAAATGCATGCTTTTCTAGATAATGACAAATCCCATGTATACCCATACCTTACGCATTTTTTGTACAGAGATGTATTATGTTCAGTGACAAAAATCCTTTATAAGAAAATCACTTGAAGTTAGTTAATTTCCTTTTATAACCAAGTGCTGTTTTGAGTGCCATTAGAGCCAGTATAAAAAGAAGTGGAAATGAAATGAAATTATTTTTTTCATTATACAGGGTATTATTAGATTATGATGACAGTTTGGTGCTTAATAGTTTTCTAGCTTTTGTTTTTATATTGTTATTATGGTATTATATATTGGTATATTTTCCTTTCAAGGAAAGTTAATCCAGAAAAGGTAAAAAGTACCTTTAGTGTAGGATTGTTCATTCGAAGGTGTAGAGAAGGTAGTACGTGAAGCAAATACTGTGGTATTCCATTGAGATGATCATTCATTTCATGTACCATCTTGAGAAATACGGAATCAGGACCTCATTTCAGTATGTAGATTCAATAGAGATAAAGTCAGATTAATGTTATTTGCTGTAGTTTGAATATCAAGGATTACAGAACCAAATATATCATTTATATATTTATTCACTGGGGTTACAAAAATGAAATAAAAATCATACTAATTAATTGCTTATGAATATCCCTAAAATGCATTTTCAATATAAAAGTTAAAAGACTTGCTCCATAAAGAAAATCTTTGATATGAATCTCACAAATAAAAGTAGTGTAGGAAATGTACAGGATCACAGCCGCATTTTCCCATTAATACACATGGTCTTTTTTTTTTTTTTACACTCTCTCAGCTAAATTTCCCGTTGATTTTCCATTGCTTGGATCCTGAGTAGCCTCTTGCGGTTCTCCCTCTTGCGAATGTGTTGTGTCCCCCACACCATGATGAACATCATGAGTAGAAGCACCACCACTACAACAGCTGCCAGAGTTACAAAGACCTCCCACGTCTGACTTTTGAAATATGTCATGAAGTCATCTTGTGCTTGAGTCTTCACCCTGATGATTTTCTTGGTGATGATATTTGGCTTCGGCCTCGAGCTCGGCAACTGTGCTGGGTTTGGGTCTAGTTTAAGGTCGTTTTCCTGCTGTCTGTTTGTGTCTGTTGAGTTTGACCGAGTTTCTGCAGGAACATTAGTTATGTCATCACTAGGTTCCAAATTCTTGAGATTTTTGGTATTTATCTGTGTCTGTGAGGAAATGTCTAATGATTTCTTGATCTCAAGGTGGAATATGTAACTAGTCAGGGAATACAAAATGCTAGCAGAACTTCCATCTACCAACCTTCCTTTCAGGTGAAAGTTCTCTTCCATTTTACTGGACTTTTTAGGAAGTGTAGTAACCTCTTTATTCCCTATAAGAAGTTTGATCACATTGTCACTTATGTTGAGGAGATTGTCAGCGAATGTGTGAATTTCGTCTGGGATCTTGTCATTTGGGGTTTCTTTATTTTCAAGAAGGAGGGAATGGTCAGCTTTTTCATGGAGCTCTTGGATGATGCTTTTCTCTGTTGTGCCTTTGATTCTGTCATCTTCACTGTATGTCGTACCATCAGTGAATTTATCGTTTATGTCAGTTTTATCGTCATCCTCTGTAATCTGGTCGATTTTATCAGTATTCCTAACAGTAGCATAACTACTGATCTCATCATCATTATATATATCAATATCATCATATACATTATCATCTTCCCTGTCATAAATGTTCACGTCACCATCTTTCCGTGCAATATCTCCTGATTCCGCCGAACTTTCAGAGAAGTCATTTACATTATCATGCCTACTTGTATCACCTTTCAATGAGGTTTTACTTTCAGACGTATCAGTGGGTCTCTCATCACCACCCTCATAATTCTTTTGAACCTTTGGTGATTCTTTGGATAATGAGTCAGTGACATGTCCTTCAAAATATTTCTTATTCAGAACATGTAGGTCAGATATTTCCTGTACCAATTTTGAACTTTTGGAAGGCCGATCTATTTTATCAGAGATGTCGTGGATTTTGGGATCTCTGGTTGGGTGGGAGGTGTCTTGCCAATCAGGGGAGTGCTGTGGGATTTGGGTGCTGTTGAATTCTAAGAAATTGTGATAGACTGTCCACAGAAGAACGGAGCTGAGTACCGACACTGTGGCGAGGGTAAACATTCTGGGTTTATGGCTGAAAATAGAAAGAAACAGCTATGGTAAGCTTAACACCTATGTATTAAACCAAATTCAGTGGGCATGACAGCTACGGACATGCCATGCCTACTGTGAGTTTATTAATTGTTTTTTACACATTGGTGGCTACACTTGTACCACGTCACCAATGAGCCAAATACGAGTATTACCTGTCTTGCCTCTGTACCCTTTTCCTTGATTTCCAAAAATGTTTTATGTTATTTTATATTGCTATTCCTAATGTCTACAACATTGTAGTAATTATAATGTCTACAATGAAAATAACACCATCGATATTCAAAGCACTAGTAAAAAAAAACATTTTTCACACCAATTCAAGAAAAGGTGAAATTGGGTATGGTTACAAGGTCTACTAATTGACTCCTTTGTGGCTAAGCACTAGCAGAGCCATCTATGTGCTGAGACATTTCACAAATAAATAAAAATGAGCACAGCATTTTCACAGCAGCATTGTGTTGATAATGTAAATATATTAATAAAGGTAACACTAATTGTATTGTGAATCAAAATGATAATACTGCTCATAATGATATGAATTTCTTGTCCAGTTAGAATTTCTCATCCCAAGTCTGGGAAGCTGAAGATATATTTGTAATTTACTTGTATTTTCATATTCTGTCAATTTTTATCGTGTCATTATATCTAAGAAAAATCATGAGAAAGATAATTATTTTTTGGTAGCTTGTCACCAAAGCAAGATTAGCAATTAGTTTTTTATTGTCATAACAACAAAAATCATAAAAATATAGTGTCTGTAGTAGATATCATCTAAAAAACAACAGTAACTCAACCAATGGTACTTCACTGTGTTTTACCCTTCCAGAAAGAAAAATGTTCATATGTATATCAACTATTTATTGTGTTTATTCACTCCATTAACATAACAGGTCTTAAATAAATTCTATTCTGTTGACTGTATCAACTAAAACATACAGAAAACAGTGTTGAACATGCTGAGTCTTGGAATTTAGTAAAATATATTTCCATATATTTTACTTTATTAAATCAAACTTTTATCCTTTGGCTTGAATGTTAAAATATGTCATTAACCCTCATTTGTAATCAAAGTCACATGGTCTACTATTTCAGGAATGTATTATTTAAAAAACCTATCAAGATTTCCAAGTTTATCAATCATTCATGAATTCACTAACAATCTGCAATGATGGCAACAACACTAAAATAAATACTAAAAATAGATAAAATTCTGCAGTGGTTTCTCTTCACAAAACTCACCTTTATGGATCACACGGCGACCCTTGTACAACTATCTTCGCTCTCTATCTAAGTGAACGGAGATTAAAATTCTTCTTTGGAATTAATAAAAAAAAGGTGTACTGATAATTCCAGTAGATGTGAAGCTTAGTTCACAAGAC